GATCCCGGGACTCCAGGATCATGACCTGAGCCGAAGGCAGTCGCTTAACCAACTGAGCCACCCAGGCGCCCCTGTACCTTACCAATTTATGTAGCAGGAGGGAAACCGTGTTCAATTGGCATGTTCACCATTTTGAAATTGTCAGATAATGGAATGTAAGCCTCTTATGATCTAAACTTTTTTATTACATTTTAGAAAATGAATTTTCCAAGATAAATTTGTCTTAGGAATATCAGAGGTGAATGAAATAAGTAACCTTGTTTGCCCCTACTGTTCAGTGGCCACAGAGTCCTCCGCATCTGGCTTTGTATGGATTTAAAAGAATTTTTTTTTCCTTTTCCTCTCTTATTTGGACTCCTAGCATCACTTCTCATTGCTGTCTGTGTCTCCTGTCTTACCAACCCTTTTGACCGCGACACAGAGTCTGCTTTTTCTTTCTGTTTTTCATTTATTTGCCATTAGCTCGCTAGTCAGTCTGTCTAGAAGTGGGTCTACAATAAAGATGAATGGACTCCAATCCTTTAATGTCTGGGTTTTGTGACCTAAGAAGTGTGTTTTTTGTTTAATTCTTGGATCTTGGTGGTGGTTGGATAATTGATTCATGTGTATATTCTAAGAAGTAATTCACAAGTTGCATGTATAACTGCTTAAGTTCTGAACTGTTCAATCTCAGTATTGAGTGGTAGTAACCATTAAGCAATCAAGTGAGAGGGAAAATCTGTTGTTTTTGTGTTTTGTTTTTGTTTTGTGATCCCCTAAATCAGCGGTCTTCAGGTGTGGTCTAAGGACCCACAGGAATCCCTTGCAGATGGAACAGGAGGTGAACACTTTTTTCGTAAGACAGTGTTATTTGCCATTATTTGTACGGGTGCAGTGGTGAGTTTGTCTGTTGGTGCATGGCCCGAATCAGAGCAATGGTATTGAACTATCCAAGGAGTTATTACGTTACTCTTCGTCACCCTGTTGTTCATAGTAAATACCCTTGAAGAATCAGTGCAGATGATTCATTACAGTAAATCTTGATCCTCGGGTGCGTGTCTTTCACTACTGGGTGTGCAGAGTGGGAACTACATATGGTGATGGTTTTCTTGGGGAAAACCACTTGCATCACCCTGAGTTGTGAACTGAGTGGCGGCCTTTCTCACTACCACTATTTTTACTTGAATGAACAACTGGCAGACGAACTATGGTTATCCCACTCAGGGATCTTACGGACATTTTCTTTAAAATAACTAAGTTAGCCTGTCACTTCAAGGAAGATACCTCATTTTTGTTTCCACTGATAAAGTTAGAGCTTGCAAGGGAAAATTTGAATTTTGAAAAACTTGTGTCTGCCTCTGTGAGGTCGTGAGCTTTTTATTTACAGCTTTTCCGATAAAATCTGTAGTGATCTTAATAAGTGTGATTTTTCTGATAGGATATAATGAAATGTGTCACTGTTTGGAAAAGCTGTGTAATTCAGTGAACTGGTACTTAGATCTGTTCAAAGTGTTTTAGGAAAGGCCTGCGACTTTCAGTGTGACAAAGCGCAGGCAGGTCCCTGGGAGAGTTTACAGATCCCACACTGCAGCTAACCTTTATAAAAGTCCTAGTTGTTGGGTTTTGGGGTAGAAATAGAAGAATATCCGTACTGGTCTGAAAAGGCTATTAATGTACCCCTCCCTTTTCCCTGTACTTTTCCCCCCTTTTTTTTCATATAAAACAACATACTGCAACAGACTGAATGCAGAGCACATGTGAGAATACAGAGGTCTTCTGTCAAGCCAGACAGTAGGAACTTGCAAAAGTGTAAAATAATGTCACTCTTTTATTAACATATGACAGATTTATTAGTGCTTATTATTTTTAAATGAATTAATAAGTAGACACTTAAAAATTTCTTAGTTTGAATTTCTAATACATTTTAAATATCGATAAATACAGCCCACATCAACAGCCCTTTGTGGGGGGGGTGGTCAGTAATTTTTAAGAGTGTAAAGGGAGGCTGCTGATCGAATGTTTGAGAACTGCTGACCTCAGTACATAACTACAGGCAGCTTCACTGACCGGTGGCTCTCTGAGGGCTGCTCGTGGGGACCACGTGCTGGAGACTGAACAGCATAGCAGTCTGGTAATTTCAGGAATGAGTAAACAGATATTTTAAAGCAGATTGATTTTTCTTTGTTTAGAACACAAAGAAATAAACACCAAATAGTCTATCAATGTTTTACCTATTCACCTAGGTTTTATTTTTGTTACTTTTGTTATTAACCTTGGCTTCATTTGTCAAGCGGTATTCTCTTTTTCCTGATAGTTTTCAAAGCCTTATTGCATTCTATGGTCTTAGTTGAGTTCTAGAATACTAGAAATTTTTTCACTATAGCTCAGCTATATCAGAAATATGCTTCCTCTGGCAAAAAAACAAACTCACAGCTCTTCTTAGCACATCCATCCGGCACAGGAATATTTACAGTTTCCTTCTTGACAGCATCATTTCTTGATTCAGCCTCTTTTAAGCCACCTTCTCGTTAATTGGTCTTATGTTTTAAGTCAGGATCCTACAGAAGGCCACCCCTGTTTCCCCAGCCCATGTCTGTGACTTGAGCTGTCCAGTTAGGATGTGGTCAGATTTGCAGTTTCCTCCTGCGCTTTCCTGGCTCCTGTCGCCCCCACCCACCCCCACCCCCTCTGGCCACTTCCACTGGCCCGAGCTGCAGAGCCAGGAGCCCACCGCTTCTCACCAGACTCAGCGACTGCTATTGGCCTTGCTCCCCTGGGTGACTGCCATGGCCCGCTCAGTGAGATCTGGTCACTTCACTCAAGAGCCCATTGTGTCCCCCCCCCCCCAATCTCATTCAGAATAAAGCCCAGTGGCCTCCAGAGCTCTGTCCCAAGTCTCCTCACCCTGTGCCCTCTTATCTATTCTCCCCCTGACCCCCCCCCCCCGCCCGGCCACACTGGCTGTATTAACTACCAACCCAGTGTGTACTGTATTTACTGCTTTTCTTTATGGTTTGTCTCCCCCACTAAGAATGTAATCCCGTCAGCAGAGGCTTTTGTCTGTTTTTCGCTCTGTCCCTGGGGCCTTGAATAGTTAATGGTGCAGTAAGTGCTCCATAAGATATTGGTAGAATCATTTAATTTAGTTTTCTTATTTTATAAATGAGGAATTAAGTCTGCATAGATAATAGGACTTTTTAAAGTTTTTTAGAGTAGCATTTCCCGGGCCTAGGTTTCCTGAATTCTAGTCCTTAGTTGTCATATACAGCACCATATGCCTTGTGTGGAAAACTGTAGTTTTTTTGTGAATTTAACCGAAACCCTATCTTTAAGATCAAACGAGGCTAGCTCTAGTTATACAGAAGGGTAATTATTTAAGAATTATCTTAATGCCAAATAGTTTATTATCCAAAACAGCAAAAACGGTAGGCTGGCTTCAGTAATCTGAGCCAGGTATTTTCCTTTCAGTAATATTTAGGAGATGTGTCTTTTCTTTCTAGATATGCACATGATGGTGTCCAGGCCGGAACAGTGGGTAAAACCAATGGCTGTAGCAGGAGCCAATCAATACACCTTTCATCTTGAGGCTACCGAGAACCCAGGGGCTTTGATTAAAGACATTCGGGAGAATGGGATGAAGGTGAGAGGTCAGCAGTGACAGTAATGTTTTCTACTATTCACTGTCAGTGTGGAAGTTTGGGTGGAAGACAGGAAGTGATAGGCACACAAGACCAGACTGGGACAGTTGTTCTTCAGCCCAGAAGCCCGAGTTTAAGTATAACTTGTTTGTTAGACAGGATTTCTAGATTCCACCCATGTTTCCTGAAAATGACTGCCTTTTAGAAACATTTACATTTGGGTAGCCTTGTTGACTTTTTTAAAAAGTAGTTATAGTCTGAATAATTTATGCATTCCGTTTCTTGTGTCTGTTCTACTCTTTAAGAAAGGTATTTCTACTGGGTCTGATCTGCCACAATAGTATAATACAGAAATAATTGCTAATGTGCTGTAGCAAATTTGTCTCTGTTACAGGTTGGCCTTGCCATCAAACCGGGAACTACAGTTGAGTATTTGGCACCATGGGCTAATCAGATAGATATGGCCTTGGTTATGACAGTGGAACCTGGGTTTGGAGGGCAGAAATTCATGGAAGATATGATGCCAAAGGTAAAGAAATATTTCATTTGGGGGTGAGGCTTTTATTATTTGTGCTCATTGAGTAAGCATACCTGAACCACTTGCCTATTGAGACCTGTCTTCATTCTGAAGGTGGCGTGGGAGGGATGCCCGCGCAACACTGTAATACGGTGTGACAGATGCTGTAAGACATTTAGGTTCGGAAATCAGAAAAAATACTACATCTTAATCTTGAAACTTCCTTTCAAAGCTATAATCTCTGTAGCCTTTAGATCTCTTGGGAGATCTCTTTTCATTGAATATTGAGGGTTTTGTCTTTGTCTTATTTGCATGAGGTAGAGTCTCTGCCAAGCCATGACAAATTGAATGCTATTTCCCAAACAGAACAAGCCTTGCTTTTATGAAACTGAATTTGTCTCAGTATATTAAAAAGGAAGGTATCCCCAGTCATAGTTTGTATTAATAAAAAGTTATCTGTGTGATGGGGTGCCTGGCTGGCTCAGTTGATAGAGCACGCAACTCTTGATCTCTGGGTCCTGAGCTCAAGGCCCACGTTGGGTATAGAGATTACTTAAATAAATAAACTTAAGTAAACAAATAAATATTGTGTGAGATATTTGGAGTTCTATTGTAGTGGCTGATATTGGCTATTTGATTTTTTATTTATTTGGTTTTATTCCCCCCCCCCCGCCCCCAGCATATCCACCATAGGAGTCATTTATTTTTTCATGTATATCTAGGTTCATTGGTTGAGGACTCAGTTCCCATCCTTGGACATAGAAGTCGATGGTGGAGTAGGTCCGGATACCATCCATAAATGTGCAGAGGTGAGACTGCTCCTCAGCTGTGACCCAGACCAGTTTCCTTTCACATGTGTCTAGGACATTGTCTGTGCGCCAAAGAGATTTCCCCTCCATTTCCTAAATTGCCTTTCTTTTTGGGAAGAGTATTTTTCTTATTCAAATGTAGAACTATGAAAATGAAGAGCAATCACATCATCATTAAAAAGTAAGTCCCAGTTATCTGGGTAACGCTGAAGGAAGTTATTTTTTTTTAAAGAATATGCTGAATGCCAGCCTTTTGGAAATCATTAAGTTCTAGGCCTTGGAGTAAGACGTTTTTCCAAAATAGGGAAAGAAAATATACCTGCTTATAAAGTGAAAAGGTGGTGGTTTTGTGTAACTGAGGTGTATTAGTTACTAGTTTGTCCCTTGCAAGAACTGACTAGAGCCATTTCTGATGGAAATCTCGGTCTGATTTCTGGATACCTGTGGGTGGGATGCATTTTCCCAAGTAACGAGCCGAGCCGGGTTGGGCCCTGAGCTTCCTTCCTAAGAGGGTGCCAGCCCCGTGATCTCACGGTCTTGAGAACAAGCCCCACATTGGGCTCCATGCTCAGTGTGGAGTCGTCTTGAGATTCTCTCTCTCCCTCTGCCCCTCCTGCTCGTTCTCGCTTTCTGAAAAATAAATCTTAAAAAAAAAGGGGGCGGGGGTGGGGTGCCAGCCCTTCCTTTAACATTGCAGGCCATGACCGTTTCTGTGGCCCATTTTTGTTAAGCGACACAGTCTGATCTGCACTTTCAGTTGTTTGTATAAATGCCATACTTTTTTGCTTGATAGCTTCTCAAAAGCTTGGTTGTGAGATGGAAGAGGAGCTGACCAAACAGTTAGTGAGCATATATCCTTTGGCTACTTGGGGAATTCTTTCTACTGAACTGCGCTGTGCCATTGGGCTTTTCCTGCTTACATTAAAACACATGTCAAGCTGTAACCCTACAAAACTAATTTTTTTTTTTTCACTTTTATGAGGAATGTCATTGGAGATGCTGTGTTTTGTATCACAGAGTGACAGTGTCTCCTGGGAGGAACTTTCCTCCCCCCCCCCCCCGGGGCCCCTCCCAGTAGCCTCCTGCGACTTTGTTCTGGTAGTACATCACAGAACAGATTGGGTTTCCCTCCTCGAGTCAAATCCTGGGAGTTTAGAGCTAAATTTGGATTTACCATTCTTGCTTTTCTCTTTGATTTCTTTGCTTCCACATTTAGAAGTATCTTGAAATCATCTTTTTTTAAGCCCCTCAAAGCCTTTCTGGAATGCAGTGAAGCATATATTAAAAAGCGTTTCATTCTTTCTGACATCAAAATGAGAAATTATTTAATGTTGCCATATTTTAGTTTCACATTTTAGCAGTAATTGTCTGCCAATTCATACACTGTTGACCCTTGAATAACATGGGTCTGAACTGCATGAGTCCTTTTTTACAGTACTGTAATTTTATTTTCCTAATGGTTTTCTTAACATTTTTTCTCTAGCTTACTTTATTATAAATATAGTATGTAATACATATAGCATACAAAACATGTATGACTCAACTGTTTATGTTATTGGTAAGGCTTCCAGCCAATAGGAGGCTATTAGTAGATTTGGGGGAGTCAAAAGTTACACACAGATTTTTGACTGCACAGAGGGTTGGTACCCCTGACCCTGTTCAAGGGTCAACTACATAGTTGAAAGATTAAAAGATAATTTGTTTTTTTTAGTAGCCTTGTCAATATTTGCATATTTTGGAATATTATATATGTTCCAAAATATGCGAATATATATATCTATATAATATCTATAGAATATATAATATCTATATAGTGTTATATTTTATATTTGTTATATCTATATTTTATGTTATATAATATCTATATAATAGAATTGAAGATTAAAGGTTTTTACAGCTTTTTCTAAATATAAGCAAAGCTGCAACAATGTAGCTTATTTTAAAGGTGGTTACAAAAATGTCTGTGATTTCTTAAACACATTTAAAAATAATTTGGTATCTTCATTTGTTAAGCATTTCAACTTATGTCTTCATTGAACTAGATTGCTTAAGTCTGTTCATCTCTAGGTAGCTCTCGTACAGTTAAAGTGTTGACAGATGCAAGGGTAGAAACTCTAGTCCAGAAATTGTTGTAAGCTTCTGTGCACCTTCCTTTGAAGCATAACTTAAATGTTTACTTCTTCCAGGCAGGAGCTAACATGATTGTGTCTGGCAGTGCCATTATGAGGAGTGATGACCCCAGATCTGTGATCAACCTGTTAAGAAATGTTTGCTCAGAAGCTGCTCAGAAACGTTCTCTTGATCGATGAAACCACAAGGAGTTGATGCTCATGAAATCTTTTTACTGGACGACAAGAATATTGACTATCAAATCCTATCACAGTTGAAGCAGTGCTGTTTTTCTGAGCAGCTATTCATTCCAGTGACTAAAATCTATTCTGCAGAATGTTCCAAGAGGTTAGAAATTGGTGTGTATAACTACATTTTTAGTGATGGAATTTAAAGATTAGTGTGGTAAAATACCATTTTTACTGGGAGACTTGATTTTTATAAAGTAAAAATATGGCTGTATTAAGGTTGTAAACAAAAATGTGTCTTAAAGCCTAATGAAGGTGTACTAGTTACTATGAAAAAATTTTTTCTGCAATTTAAATCTTCTCATTTCTTGGTTTTCCAAAGCAAAGGAAGTCCTTATTCCTGTTCCGTATGTCATTTTTGATTTGTGTGTGCACATGACAATATGAGAAGAATGGAACTTGTGAAAAATCGAAGTTTGAATCGGGCTAGGATGGCACACTGTATTCTTGCTTCTTAAACATCTATTTTTTACTTTGCACCTTATATTTGATACGTAAAAACAGTGGATGAAGCCCAGGGATTTCAGGTGGTCTGTTCTAAAGTACAAGTATAGATTTTTATCGAGGTGTTTTCTTTGTTAGCTCTGCTGGAGGGGCAGGTTATACAGTGATCCCCACCTGTCCCTTTTCTTACTCACCATTCTTAAGAACATGAAATAATACTGTGCTAGCTCTGAGCAGAGAGGAAAGGAAACAAATTCAATTGAGTTGAATCTGGACTCTTTTCCTTTCCATCTATTTGACTTTAGCAAATCAAATCAACCAGTGTCTTTGCATATCTGTTAACTGATTTATACATTGAATATAATTATAATAACCATGCAGGGTTATGTTGAGCATTAAGAGAGATCATACGTTATATGTAAAGCTTCCACTACTATTCCCAGATTTATAGGATAGTAGAGAATTGAGGATGCTCAATACAAAGGTGCTGTCATTTATGTTTTGTAGCCTATAAAGTACTTCAATATAAGCTCATTAAATCCACAAATCACTCTTAAACGAGTGGTAGGACAGGTACTTTTATCCCCATTTAAAAAATGAAGATACTAAAGCTCAGCAACAGGCTGGTACCGTGGAAAGAACCCAGTAGGGCACAGGAGTTCTGGTTTGTACTTTTTACAAATGGAGCCCTTGGAAGGTAGATTAGGCAAAGGAAGCCTCTTGTATGTAACACTGTCTTATTTGCAATCTAATTTTACCATGTAGCAGAACCAGATGGCTGAGGATATTCTGGATACTATGGATTTGACCCCAAGGATATATATTATATTAATCCAGCAAAGACCAGGTAGGCCAAAAAGATGACAAGGTACAGAGTTAATCTGTAAACTAAATATTTAAAACTGTGTCCCAAATTATACTTTGACGATACATATCCGCTATTTCATTCTTGCCAGTACTCTTGCTACATAATACATATGGCAAGAAATAAACAGGAGACCAGTGTCGTTAAGCTTCTTTAGGCTACTATGAGTTTTGAGAAATAGGTTTGAAAAATAAGAACATTAACACTTCCGCATAGACTAGAGCTTGCTTGGTTTTTTTCTATCCTATAATGTAAAAATCTGTCGGTTTTTATTTTGACTTAGGAAACATTTGTGCCATCAATAGGTGGTGTTTAATCAGATCAGACAACACAAGGCGTATAGAAATAACTTTAATTAAAAAACTTACATAGAAGATTATAATGTCAGACATGACAGAAAGATTTGAGCTTATTTGCCTAGACAACTTGGGTTTGTCCGGCTTTTTTCTTTTTTAAAAATAAATGTACAGTAAAACTACAAGCAAAAATTTGTCAGTATTTAATTTGAATTTTTTCCTTCCTTAAAAGGATTAGTATAATTTCCAATCCCTAACAAAAAACTTAGTGTCAAATCCCCCCAGACTAGGCCAGATGGCCAGGATTGTCAGTTATATGGGTACTATAACTTGAATAACCTTTTTTTTTTTTTTTTTAACATGAGAGGAGTTGTCCTCAACTTTTACATTGAAAAAGTTACGTGATAGCTTCAAAAGGAATTTTCCTTAATGTACACTCCTGTATTCAGTATTCAAGCATTACCCTTTGAAAAATTTTAATTCTCACTCTAGAATACAAGTAAGAATAGATGCTTATTTGAATAGAGTGAGCTATAGTAAGGAATGACCAAATTCATTAGAAATACAACATTTTTTATACTGATAGTACTTTCCTGTTGCTTATTTTAAGTTGGTGTCTTCTCTTCACAAGATACATAAAATAAAGTTCAATTTTAAAAGAGACCAATATTTAACTCTACTAAGCTTGTCGTAATCTGTTAGGAGTGAATGGAAAGTAACCTGTGTTTAGTCTAACAGATAATGGTGATTTTAGATAAAGGCGTATTGTGTTATCTGGTATAGAAATTTCCATAAATAACTTCTATTGGTTAAACATGTTTTTTAAAAAATCCCCTCCCCATCACAAGACTTTTAGATATCCATTATCACTGGAACCTGTGCTTTGTTTTAGAGTGCAGCTTAAACTTCATGGGGTAGTTCATACATGCATTTTCAAGTGGAGTGGCCACTGCCAGTGTTTTTTAAAACGATGTGTGTGTATACGTATGTATACTTTGTACACACATACTTGTATATTCAAATATACTTCTGAGGCAATTTTAATGAATTACCATAGAAATTACATAGAAATGTATAGGAAAAAGAGCTGTCATTTGATGCACAGGTATATTTGTATATATATATGTATGTGTGGGTATAACGTCTTTCAAAAACCATTTACCCAGTAATGTGATTTAACATCAGATTGCAGCAGTTAATTTTTTGGTGCTTGTGATTTGCATCATAAACACAAAAGACTAGCACTTGTCTGTAGGTGAAAAGCTAGTTATTCCTGTGGTTCAGGAAGGAAAAAGAGACCTACCTTGCCTGTTTTGTAACAGCATAAAAGATTAATACATGCAGTACATGCTCTTACTCTGGAATTGTGACTGAAGGGGGTGGGGGATGGAGAACAGGGCTTATTTTTTTTCTCCTGTCTTCCATTCACTTACATACTTTTCTTAACCTGTTCCCTGTCACCTATTTTTTTTAACATGAGTAAGTCCTAGACCAAAAGGTTTGTACTCTTCCATTTCGTCTGCCTGCCTTTTCGGATGGTGACCGTTCTCTGGTGCACTGGTACAGAAGATTTCACCACAGGAGGCTGGGCTCGAACTTTCACTGTGATCCTTTTTTTCATCCTGGCATAGTAAGGCTTCTGTGTCTTCATTCTTCAGCGGAAAAGCCCGTCGTTCCCACCACAAAGACTGGAAGAGAGAACATCTTCAGTTAAGTTTCAACTAATTTGTTTAAATTCATGTATCAGATAATCCTTTAATGTCAGTTTTGTAATTACTGTTTTGTTCTCTAGTGCATAAATGTACAAACTTTCATTTCGACCTGAGTATCTAGCAACTCAAATGGGACGTTACTGGGAATTGTTGAGAGACATTTCCCTTGCCCTTCAACAAAGAGGAGACGCTGCTGTTGGGCATCAGCCTTCATTTTGGGCATCAGAGCACGCTCAGAAAGTCCCTTTCAAAGTGTTTTCATCTCCTCCTACTTCAGTGTCTTCATTTCAGCCCATAATTACTACAGACACCTACTGACTTTTCCTTCCCCACGCTTTCTACGACTTGCCGATTAATTTCTATAGTTTCTGCTCTCCATTCTAGATCTCGTTCTTTTCCGCCACCTGCTTATGAAGAACAGTGCAAAAATGTATAGATGCTGTGTTAGAAAACACTCCCCTTGAGGTAAGAACTGGATCTATGGGGAGACAGGTAAAAATCTCTTAGAAAAAGAAATAGCAGCTAACATTTACTGTGTGCCAGGTGCTGTTCTCTCTAATCAGATTGGTTTTGTAATGAAACTTGGATAGAATCCCCATTTCCTAACAGAGGAGTGAGTAGGTGAAACTAGATACTGAGATGTTACATGAAAAGATAAAGTGTTTATTAGTGATAGAAACTAGAATGCTGGAATACATACCCTCTCTGATTTGTACCCAGCATTTTATACTGATTTGTTAAGTATGATGAATCCTTAATTTGCCCTTTCTTAACTTCTTTTTTAACAAGCACTTTCTACACATAGGCTTTTAAAAGGTTAAAAAGGCATTTAAAAGGAGGTTTAACTAGTTGTATATATTCCATTTACCTTGGTTTCTTGACTTTCATTTAATGAAGGTGAGCTCTGTGCACTCAGATCCTGGCTTTCTGAAGGAAGCTCAGCAGGACTTTCAGCAGCACAGTGCTGACCACCACTGAAGTCATTAGGGTATTCTTTCAAAAGCAAGTCCTGTCCTTCAACATTTTTACTGTAGGCTCTAGCAAGAAAATCAAGAAAATATTTAATTGTTACTTCTTCAGTTCTTAACATTTTATGAACAACCCCAAGTTATCACTAAGTCTATTTAACTTGGTAGCTTGAAACAGTCCTGCCCAGATTTTAAAAAATTCATCTGCTGATCTTCCTGTTATCTCAAAGATTTAAACAGTATTTTAGAAATAATATTTTGTGAATTTGCCAAATTATAATAGTGGATTTGAGTTTTGGTGGGGTTTGTTATTACTGTTATTTTGTTTTTAAATGAGAAAGGACAGTTACTTGATCTCTACAGTCTTTCTGAGTTCCCAGAGTATTCTATATTATGATGTCATCCATGTAGGACTCAATTCACATTTTCCTCTTTACTTCTGGAAAGTTCTATCTCTGGAATGTGGAGAAAGATGAGAAATGAGTCTCATGTGTGTTAAGACAGCTCTTGGAATAAGGATCTAGAACAAATCTGGATGTTTTGAGACCTAAACAGAGAAATGAGTTTTAAAAATACAGCTGAAGGGGTGTCTGGCTGGCTTAATGGGTATAGCCTGCAACTCTTGATCTCCGGGTTGTGAGTTCTAGCCCCACGTTGGATGTGGGGCGAATACTTAAAAGTAAAATCTTAAAAAAAAAAAAATGCAAAAAAAATACAGCTGACCCTTAAAATAACACAGGGGTTAGCACCAAATCCCCGATGCAGTCAAAAATTCACATGTAACTTTAGACTCCCCCAAAAACTTAACTACTAATAGCCTACTGTTCACCAGGAAGCCTTACCGATAATATAAACAATCGATTCACACATTTTGTATATGTATTATATACTGTATTCTTAGAATAAAGTAAGCTAGGAAAAAGGAAATGTTATTAAAACCATAAGATAAAATACATTTATAGGACTGTCCTGTAAAAATTCTGTGTATAAGTGGACCCATATAGTTCAAACCTGTGTTCAAGGTCAGCTTACTAAGCAAATGAGAGATGCCCCCACATTAAATCTAGCGGACTACCAGACTTGAACACGATCTTGCTTTGTGAGTTCTGGCTATATTAAAACACAGTCCATTGTAAATATAAAATATCATGGACTTTCTCAAATATATAATTACTAATTATGTTTTTAGGATTTAATTTCCTTTCCCCCAAAGTCATATTTTTGAAGTATTTTAGACCATCTGCTTTTTAGACTAGACAGGTTTCTTGAGCAAAATTTTTTTAAGAACAACATGTTTTTTAAGTGGTTATGTTAAAATAGATCACCCGGATTCTAATTCCTAGCATTAGGGCTGCTGTTAGAGTGTACTGAAATGGCCTACTCTATCTAGGGAGCATTTTCACATCATTTGCTGAGTTAAATCTATTCCTCAGATTGACAGTAAACAATAGGAAATAGTGGAGAAAAATAGAGAAATGCATTTCATCAGTCATAGCCAAAATCTATTTGGAATGTACTCAATAAATGCCATGTTTCACTTCTAGTGCACAAATAACTGATGTTCTGTAGTACATTTTCTTCCTTTTTAGGGGTCTCTCTCATTACTCATGCAGAATTTTTGTTGATTCTTCATGGATTTCATGGTTTGGGCTTTTAAATTGTTAACACCTGCCTGCTGTTTCTTCTGTGCCACTTGCTTTGCTCCCATAGTGACCATCTGGCTTGCTCTCTCTCTTCATATTTTTTGTGTCTTAGGGAGAAGACTTCATCAGAAAGATCTTCTACCTGGAATTAGAAATAAAGCTTTTCTTTTATCAGAAACATTTTGAAATATGAGAACAGGTGTCAAACAATTCCTCAAGAGAATATAGGAAGAAAATTCTAAAATAAATCTAAATTGAGAGAACAAGTATTATGAGATGAGCTTCAAATTCCAAAATAGAGGGATTAACTTTTTTTTTTCCCTCTTTTACAACTTTTTTCCTATTGGGTCATGTTTGAAGACTTACCTAGATTACAGATAGATAGGTTCACAGTGCTTTGCATAAAAAATTCTCTTAATGCTTAATTCATTCAAAGATTTATATTGATTGCCCTTTACTGTTCTAGGAATGTTAATATCAAAGCAAAATGAAACTGAGAAAAATGAAAATTAACTAATGACTTAATCTGGAGTTCTAAGACTTTGGTGGTACTGGTTTAAGAATTTGGGTTTCCTGGCTAGGATCATTCTAAATTAGGGAAAAGCACATTAAAAGAGGGGAGGGCATTAAAAAGTTAATTTTGATAGTTGAAAAACACAGTCAGTGGGCCTAGAAAGATTATGACACAAAATGTCTTACATAATAGTGCTTCTACAGAACATCACTTTCAAATTAGTTTGGTTATATAGTATTTTTCCCTGAAATTGTTCTTGTCTTAATGTAAGTTTTACCCATACAGGCTCATAGTCCCTTTCCTGCATTCTAAAACTCCGAAACAACAAGTGTTCTTAATTCATTCAATGACATAGCCTGATCTGGCCAAATTCTAGAACTGTTTTCTATAGAAACATTAATATTTGATTATGAGAACTATCCTAGACTCCCTCTATGTCTTATGTGATGGACCCATCACATTCACATTACTTTCTCAAGTCCAAAGGTTTCCCAATTCAAAAGCCGTTTGTTCCCAACGTTTTGAATGTGGCACTGTAGACGTGAATATTAAAACTAAATCTCTTCATGCAGAAAAACATGACTAATACTGGGAATGAATATAGATACTCATGTAAATTCAGTATTTCAACAATTCATGTAAGCAAAAGATTTGTGTTTTTCTTTATTACATTTCTTTATAGATTACTGTCTTTGCAAATTTGCACGAAAACATTTTTCTAATGAAACTAATATTCTTAATGAAGAATTTTGTTTTCATAAGTGAAAAGAAAAAAATCAGTGCATGTTAAGGGGCTTATGTTTCCCTTTAGTTCCTCAAACACCAAATTA